CGTAATTCACTACTTCGTTAATTACTTCACATAAATTGATGCATCATTTCCAGATTTTCTGGAATATTTTGTAATTTCATTCAAACAACCATTTTTTAGTTAAAACCCAGTTTTTCGAAAAAATCGTGGGGAAATTTCAATTTTGGTAATCGAATATCCGCAAATCTTGTAATATTGAAATGTTGAACCTCGAAAATGTATTTTATTAACTAAAAATCCTTTTAGTGGCAATGACCAATTTCCTTACATTATAAATATCTGTTACATTCCATATGAATGATCGTTAAAGTTTGAATTAACATTCTATGCTCAAATGTGCAAAATTTTATTTTTATTTATTATTGTATTAATTATTTTCTTCATCATCTTTGTTTCTCTAAAATTAGCAAAATTATTTCTATGCACACGACGCGGTTATCTTTTGTTTCGGTAACTTTCTCAATTATTTTGGCAAAATATTAATTTTAGGAATATTTTATAGCTTGTTGACTAAAAATTCTTTGAATGACAGTAAACAATTCCTTTATTTGTGTTTTGTGTTCACTCTATTTTAGTATATTTGCTTTGTTCCTCTAAGCTAACATCAAAATTCTCTCTTTACACAAAATTTGGCTATCGTTTGTTTCGATAATTGTTTCAATTATTTTGGAAAAATATTCATTTTACGAATTTGTAGCTTGTTTTCGTTAACTAAAAATTCTTTGAATGACAGTTAAGAATTCCTTTTATTAAAAATATTTCTACACCATATTTTCGATTGTTAAAGTATGAATTAACTATTTATGCTCAAAAAGGCAGAATTTAATATTTTCCTTTATTTGCGTTTACTATATTTTTGTATATTTTCGTTTTTCTCTAAACTAGCATTATCTCTCAAAAGTTCTCAAAAAAAGAGCAAAAATCTCTCTACACAGAACTTGGTTATCGTTTGTTTCGATAATTTTCCCAATTATTTTAAGATAATAATTTTACGCTAATAACAATCGCAAAAAAATGAACTTTTATATAAACTAAAAATCGATTTAGAACCGCAAAACCAGTGTCTATTTTGAAAACTAAAAATGCAGGTTTTAACTAAAAAAATGGGTGAAAATAATATGTTTGTCTCCGTGCAATAGATTTTTCTTCATTCAAAATGTGGTTATGCAAAGGAACATTATTTTCGAATCAGTCGCGATACTTAAGTAACTAATTACATCTAAATAAAGTGGCTAAAAAAGTCAAATAAATGTTTGGAAAGAAAAGAAAACAAAGAACGTATAAACGAAAGAGTATGTTGGGAGTAAAAGCAAAATATTGAGCACATAAAAACATGGAATATGAAGTCGCGTCGGTGCTTAAATCCTTTAAGCATGAAGCAGAAAAACTGGCTATTTTCATTCTTGCAGGTTTTCTCGGAGTTCTATAAAATTTATTATCTTTTTTGACTCTTAAAAGCATCCAGTAAATGAAAACATTTTCAACTCAACCAAATTTTTAAAGCGTATATTTTTTCATTCATTTTACCCTCAAATACTCTTAGCACCACCCTTGTATTCAGCACGATGGGCAAAGTGGTTCTATTCCGGGAACTTTGTCTCCTTCGTCAGGCTAGACAATGCAATTTTTTTAATTGACATGGAGCCCTGGCGACAGTCTTTTTATTTTTAGTGGTACCCGACTGATTTCTGGCGACTTCTTTATCAGGCAAGCAATGTAACCAATAAGGCACCGGAGTGTTTATGAAAAACTGCACCTCCGGGTGATTGTTATAACTTCGACATTGTTCCCATTTATTCAAAGGATGCGACTTTGGGGAAATGAGACGGTTCCTACCTGAGAACCAGGGTGGTACTTTAATGGACTCTTTCAGCCATCAGTCATCGCTGTCCAGCGATTTCTAATTGGCACCATAGATAAAAGGAAAAATTTACTCCGATAGGTGACTGTCGCAGTAGGAGCCGGTTAGAACGTTGCTAATTGTTCCGGGATCGGTGCCGGCGCCAACTTCTGTCTAAGGGGACAACCTTCGGACGCATTTTTCACTTATTGTCCCACTTACCTGGTATTTGTGCATGCATTCATGAACCATTTTCAGACGTGTTTATTTCACTACTTTTTGAGGAAATTGACACTAGTTTTATGTTCTCTCTCTGTAAAAATTAAAAACTCCAATGATGCAAAGACTGTTCACCCAAGATGATTAATTTCTTCAGTTGAACGTTCGAATGAAGCAGGGTATGGCAAGAACAGGTCGATTAATTAACATAACAGTCACGTTTATGCACCTTTGCGTAATAAGAGAAAACTGGCCTCAACTGCGAGTTCAAAGCGTTTCATGGGCGGACAAAATCCAAGTCTACTATGCGCCTCTAACGAAACTGAAAAAAAAACAGGTGCCACAGTAGAAGACTGCAGACAAGCAAGTGCCAATGAAGGTCCCACAAAGCCCTCAAAAATGTTCAAGTATCGACTGTCGAAGCTGTTTAGCTGATAAACTCGGACAAAATTTCAAACAGTTTTTGTTCTTCTTGTTTCGGTAAACAGGTAGAAAAGCACATGCCCATCCATTGTGTGCCCTTTATTGCCAACGGCGGCTTATCCGGCAAATCGGCCTTCGGCTATTTATCTGAAGACGACATTTTTTCGCTCAATAGGAAGCGACCGATGAGCGATGAGACAATCGGCCGACAGGTTACATTCCTCGTAATTCCATGGTGGTCTAATTAATTACGCGGTTACAAGTTTTTTCCTGCATTGTCTTCCTTTTGGCCCAGTAATTAATTAGGTTTCTAATTGGCCGCATAAAAGTGCGATGATTCCATCAATAAAGCAATTCCCCGAAGATCGTTGGATAAATAAGCTTAAGCTCCCCCAGTTCATATGTGGAAAGATATAAACTAATGACATGGAATAACTGAGTAAATAACCAGATATATAAATATTTAACAGTCTCTGATGTTTTGTTTACCAGCGCCTGGTTATAATTCGTATTTGCTGCACACACATAGACACACCATTTTTTGCCAAAGCTGAGGAAATATCCGATTTTCATTGAAGTACATATATTTTCTGCCAGGTAACGATGAGATTGGACATCACCGATCAAAGTGCATAACGCTGATTTTACATTTATTAAGGGTATTGATTCACCGTTACCTATAATCTCCTATTTGCTACTTTTCTGATAAGATAAGGCACTGCGAAGCCCCCTGAGCACGTCAATTTTGAAATCCATCGTCAATTATCAATCGTTCTCATTATTGGGGATCAGATTTGGGCCTAATGCTACCGTAATATCTTGATTGCTAATTAAACAACCGTTTCGAATCCACTTTGTACCTACTTAAAGAGGTCGGAATTTATACACAGACAGTTGGTTATGGAAATGCTGTTTTCCCTATGCGAGAAGAAGGTTTTTCCCAATTTTTTTCCACCAGACGCCACTGTTTACACAAGGCAAAAAAGAAAAGAGCCGTCGTTTGTCTAATTATATTTAACAAGTTTCCCGAAGCATTTGACCGTAGCCCAGGTAAATAATAAGCTGGCGAGATGGAGCCAAATTATAGGGCGCGTACGCCCGCAAGAGCGGATGGTCTTTTCATTCTGGAGTTAATTTTTATGTGATGTGCCTCCACCTCAAAATTGCATTGTAATTCGAGCCCTAATGGGGCCTTTGTCCCATGGGAACAATCGATGACAGACCGCGGCGATATAATTTTCATAATGCATCCACGCAATGTTGGCGTTTGTGTGAGGTCTCAGTTTATTTCCACAAATTTGTCTCAAATCTTCGACCTCAATGTCTTCATATTCCCCGGTATTAACCGCTTGGGTTATGCAGTGTTTTCGCATTCGTTTTTCGACGGTTTGAACAATTAATAGTTTAGCTCACTTGCCTGCTAATTGGAGAAAATGAAATTTCCCTGATGCGCAAGCAAAAGAAAAACGTCTGTTTAGCATCTACATAAGCACTTCTTTATAACTGCTGTGTGTTGCGAATAGCGCTGTCCATTGTTTCTTCATTTATGACTGTTTGAATGCTAATTGAACACCCAGTGTTCATTTCAAAATACTAATATTCGGAAAATCCACAGCCACAGAGCATTGTTTTATTAGCTCCAAAACTTCTTCAAATTAGTGCATTGAGAACCTTTAGCATGATTGTTTTGAAGAATATACTAATTGGCTTCCGATCAATCCGCCTTGGACAAGAGCTTATCCGGGCAAAGACTTGGATTGATTTAAATATCCGCTCGCAATGGTTCAGCATCCCGTTTTAATACCCTTCTTAAATAAAAATCGGTTAACGGCATTTTGTTTTTTCGCTTTGGCCCATAATCTGTGCGGTAATTTCATAAGCACGACAACGGTGCTCAAAGAAAAGCTCTACACAGATTAGTGTACGCGACAGATAGAAACGACGATTGTAAAAGCGGACGATCAAACGAAATTATGCATAATTTGTAGCTGATTTACAATGTTTACCTTCACTTTGCCTTGATTAGCCTGATGTTAAATGGGGCTTTCGTTTAATGGCATTATTTTTCCAGAAAAGCGAAACGTGTTAGCGATTTTTGTCCAATTAAGAGTTAGAATTCGTTTTTCGTTTCCAAAGCTCAATGCAATTGATTCTAATGCAATGTAGAACAGTGGATATAAACCTTCAAGGGGGCCACTGAATAATTTGCAACTACCATTAGCGATTTAGCCTCGAATTAGCAAAATGAATTTAGATTTTGCTCATTCGAATGCATAAACATACTCAGTTCATTCGATTGATTCTGATACTGGCGTTTTGATCCTCCAGGAAAACCATTGTCTTTTTCCGCAAACTTTTCCTCACGATTCAACTCCAAGAACATCATGTATTACAGCATTATTACTTTGAGCTATACCTCAAGATTGTCGAAAATGTGAGAATGATTGAGGAAAATTTCGCGTCTGTAGTCTTCAGGCCTGACTTTCAGTGGCGCAAGTAGTACCGTATCAGAATCTAGTTAAAACTGAAGAAAACTTACCGGTAATAATTTGAACCCGCGGTTGCTGCATCCTCGCTCTTGGTCGATTGATGCTGACCGATTCCTCCTGAGCTGCGCTCAGAGCTATCACAGATAAGAAGAAGCACCAGATGAACATCATTGTGCAGTCTTGCTCTAATTAATTAAATCTCCAAATTATCAAAGTGTATTTTTGGGTTCGGTTGGTGTCGCACAACGAAAAGACACAAATTCGGAACCGCACTCGAAGGTCTATTTAGGTCCGCACCGATTGAAACTGATGTGGAATGGTACTGTTGAGATGAACATCGCGAGAGGTTGCAGCTGCGCAGTTTCAGCACCGACTGTTCTGCTCAATGGCTCGTCGCAAACTGAGCGCTGAACGAAAAACTGAAATTGATTTTGATTAGAGTTCACTTGTTGGGTTCTTAAGTGGGCCTGTTTAGCCAGCGAGTCAGTTGGCTTTACTTTTCTACTTTCGGGTGCCTAAAGATGGTCCTAGACGAGAGTACTGGCGGTACCATGTGCACCATTGACTATTGGAAATTTGGTTTTTTTTGCTATTTTGATTTCTGATTTTGTACCAATTTTTTTGCGTATCTTGTCTTAAGGGCCAAATACTGATATACTGAGTAAATTTCACTCATGCATTTCACAGTTGCAAAGCGCACACAGCGACTCTTGTCGACCAGTGTAGGGTGAGATCAGAACAGAACTCAGTTCCATAAAGAGAATAATATGAGATACTTATTTTACTTGCTCCATGCTCATTTTCAGAACTCGTTCGTGGCCCGCTCGACTTAAATTCTTAGTAGAGGTCATAGAGTAAGTAAAATTGTTATTTTACTTTCTCTATGGCAGAGGTGAAAAGGGATCTAACTCCTAACTAATTTGGCTGTTTCATCAATGTGCTAGTTGTTACCTTTCTTGAAACTCAGTGTGAGCTGACCCAACATCGCCGTTGAATACGGACTTGAAAATGACCATAGGTCGGGTATTTCTTCACATTTCTATGAAAACTCCAACGATGCAACTATTCTCTGACCCAATTTGCATGCCAAGCGCAGCCGACTGCATGCTGCCCAAATTTCGCTCGAATGCGAGCACTTTCTAATTTTTCAGAACCGTCTGATTAAGACCTTGCAAAATCCTCTCCGTAAGCACCAACCTGTTCATATTTAAAAAATTGTCCAGGTGAAACCAAAAGTAGTAAACACTTCAAATGTTTAGTGCGTTAAGTAAGTGCTTTTCGCTCCATGCGGACGAAATTTCACTGAAATCCAAGAATTTCCTGATTTTTCAGAGCAGTCTGATTAGGAACTTGCAAAATGCGCACTGTAACCATCAAGACCCGCATATTTAAAAAAATTTCCAGCTCAAAGCAAAAATAGAAGATCTTTCAAATGTTGAGTGCGTTAAGCGAGTGCATCCGACTGCATGCTGCCCAAATTTCGCTCGAATACAAGCACTTTCTGACTTTTTATAGTCGTCTGATTAGGAACTTGCAAAATGCGCACTCTAAACACCAACTAAACTAAACACCAAAAATTGCTCTGATCAAAGCAAAAATAGAAGATCTTTCAAATGTTGAGTGCGTTAAGCGAGTGCATCCGACTGCATGCTGCTCAAATTTCGCTCGAATGCAAGCACTTTCTAATTTTTCATGGCCGTCTGATTAAGAGCTTGCAAAATGCGCTCCGTAAGCAACAACGTGTTCATATTTAAAAAAATGTCCAGGTGAAACCAAAAGTAGTGGACACTTCAAATGTTTAGTGCGTTAAGTAAGTGTATCTCGCTCCATGGGGACGAAATTTCACTGAAATCCAAGAATCTCCTGATTTTTCAGCGCAGTCTGATTAGGAACTTGCAAAATGCGCACTCTAAACACCAACACGCTCATGTTTAAAAAATTGCTCTGATCAAAGCAAAAATAGAAGATCTTTCAAATGTTGAGTGTGTTAAGCGAGTGCATCCGACTGCATGCTGCCCAAATTTCGCTCGAATGCAAGCACTTTCTAATTTTTCAGAGCCGTCTAATTAAGACCTTGCAAAATCCGCTCCGTAAGCACCAACGTGTTCATATTTAAAAAAATGTCCAGGTGAAACCAAGAGTAGTGGACACTTCAAATGTTTAATACGTTAAGTAAGTGCATCTCGCTCCATGCGGACGAAATTTCACTGAAATCCAAGAAGTTCCTGATTTTTCAGAGCAGTCTGATTAGGAACTTGCAAAATGCGCACTCTAAACACCAACACGCT